ACATTGTAGCGGACCCACCAGGTGTGGTGCTCCACTGGTGATAGAGATGGAGATGGAGAAAGAAGGAGGGAGCAAGGTGCACAGCGCAGCTCCCCACGCAAGACTCCAACGCACGTACTCCAAAATGTGCAAGTGAAGAATGAGACTGAAAACAGACAATGGATGGGGTATACCCCAACGGACTGACGGGACTGGACTGGACTGGCTGGTACCGACAGAGGTACTGGCCTGGACTGACCTACCCCGAATACAACACAGGCCTGTGAGAACAGGCCAAGGGGCTGGTCTCACAGGCCAACCCGAGGTCCGCTACACGATCCTCGGCCTGTGATGGATCGCCTAGATACAAACATGCTTTCGCCAAGAAGCGAAACTCTACCAAAGAAAAGAAAACCTGAGTAGTCTAGGATGCGGAGCAAGCTCCATGCTGAGTCCATGCGATGCAACCTAGGATATAAAATGTCACAAAACAACAATGTCACAGCTAACAGCCTAAGTGAAAGCAGAAGCAACTAACTAACATACATGTCCGAGGAAAGCAAAAGCAACTAACTAGCATACATGTCCTAGGAAAGCAGAAAGTAGTGACAACTAGATCCTAGAATGTTGGAGGCACTAGCCTGAGTCTGGTAACAACTGACTAGTGTATAAGTCCTAAGAACAGCAGAAGCAGAACAACTAAATCCTAGAAATGTCGGAGGCAGTAGCCTCAGTCTGAGAGCAACAAAGCAATCAACAAGACAACCATATGTCACATGAGAAGTGTGTCGCAAACCAAAGGTGGGATGGTCTCTGAGGGTGGCGAATGCAGCCTAGGGGTCGAAAACTCCTAAGGGCATCCACACATAGTGACAGGGGAAAACACATGTCATCAGGCTCAATGAGGGTAGGGAACTCTGAGCGAGCAGAACCAATGACCCTAACAGATAGACCATCAGGGCGGGTAATGCTCGATTAAGGGGTGACCGCTATGGAGGGTCGACCATGCAAGGGAACAAGGGAGCCTGGTACACTGGGCGCACCTAGATGAAGCATGCGGGACTGCCTAACTAGGGCGTGAGGGCCGGCAGAGGGTAGGAAGGTGATGGGTAAGGGAATCATGCAGATGACTCCTAAGGTGGGGAAGTCGGAGCTAGATCCGTAAGATGGGAAGCCAGGGCAACGCTACGGTCCCGATGCCTATGCGTATACCAAGGGAGAACCCAACTAAGAGGAACCCGGCTAAAGGAAGACCATCATGCGACACACGCAGGGTACTGTACAGGGTAAAGTGGTAAGAGAGTGGCGACGTCTGAAGTAGGCAGAGCTGATCGTGACGAAGTCCATGAAGCTGCCGATGACGTCCACGATGAGAAGTCCGGAATGCTGTCGAGGAAGAGCCGTAACGTCGACGAGATGAAGTAGCAAAACTGGATTGGATGGAGTACTGAGAAGTCAAGGACGTGGGAAGGTCAGTCAGAGTCAATCGTCGTATCGAGCAGGACGACGACGAGTGCGCTGTGGACGCTCAGAAGCATCCGACTGCTGCTGAAGGTCTGCCTCAGATGGAGCAGGCTCGACTTCAGCAGTCTCCTCAGCCGGAGGAGAAGGAGGAGGGTCAGTGGGCTGAGGAGGAGTAGTAAACCCAGCACGACGAGCACGGTCATAGGCACGCACCAACATGCGAGCGTGCTGCAAGTGCTCGAGGGGCTCCTAGGTAGCCTCCTCATCAGGGTAACCCTTCCAACGTACGAGATACTCGACGTGGGGAGGGTTGTCGTCGGTGACTCGGCGACCAATGATGTCTGAAACAAGGAACTCCTTGTGACCGTCCACCATGATGGGTGGAGGGCGCTCGTATGGTCGTCCGGCGAAACGCTCAGACGGTCTGTGGTAAGGACGCAGTAACGAGATGTGGTAGACATCGTGCACACGAGCCTGGCGTAGGTAGTCGAGCAGCTTCACACGGAAGCTGACCGGGCTAGATGCCGTATCAGAACCGACGACCTGGAGGATGCGGCATGGGCCAAAGAAGGGACGCCGAAACTTGCGAAGCGTGTCCGCTTCGAGCTGTAAGTGGCGGGCGTCGATAAGCACATCATCACCGACTTTGAATGGATGATCCATTCTCGATCGGTTCGCACGTGCTGTCATACGAGTCTGGGAAGCGGCTATGTGCTCATGTGCGGTCTTCATGATCGACGTCATGTGTGCAATCCACTCGTCCAGCGCGTGACAACTCGTGTCGGGGTGCAGCTGGGATGGTCGAAGGAAGTCCGCGGGAACACGAGGGTGATAGCCGAGGGCGCAATAGTAAGGCGACATCCCCGTGGCTGGCGAGACGGYGTGGTTGTAGGCTATCTCCGCGTGGGCGAGATGGAGATCCCACTGCTGGTTGTCACGAACAATCTTTCGGAGAATATCTCCGAGAGTCCTGTTCGTGATCTCGGTCTGACCATCACTCTAAGGATGGTAAGACGAGGAGAAGCGGAGCTGAGTGCCATACACCTCGTGGAGCCGTCGCCAGAATCGGTTGGTAAAGCGCGGGTCACGGTTAGATATGATGCTCAGAGGTAAGCCGTGGTCACGCACGACGTGGTCAAACACGATGTCGGCGACCTCACGTGCACTGATAGCATAGCGGCACGGAACAAAGCGTGCACGCTTCGTGAAGCGGTCGACGACCACCAAGATAGCATCATGACCGCGAGGGGTCGGAGGTCGAAGAGGACCGATAAAGTCCATCGAGATGGACTGCCAACGACCCTCAGGGATAGGAAGAGGCTGGAACAAACCATAAGGCAGGTGGTTCGCACTGTTCACCTCCTAACAGGTGGGACACTCTGCGACGTAGTCCTTCACAAAGTCCTTGTGCTTCGGCTAGACGTATAGGCGGCTCACACGAGCCAACGTCTTGTGGAAGCCCATATGACCGGTGGCTGCCTGGTCATGGAACTCTGCTACTGCTCGGATATGTAGCTGTCCAATGGAGGGAACGCAAATACGGGGCTCTCTGGTGCCCTGTGAACCGTGCCAGTACACGAGACCGATGTCCCCGAGAGAGTAGTTCGGGACGGTCTTGCCACTCCGAAGGGTCGCGTGGATATCGCGATAGTCAGGGCAGTGGCGGTACTGAGTGCGAAACTTGTCGATCACCGAGTGGTGGACAGTGGTGACCGAGATGGAAGAGAGCTGGATCTGCTCTTGATCGTGGTCAGGGCGCCGGGATAAGGCATCTGCGACCCGGTTAGTCTCACCCTTAATGTGCTCAGTGGTGAAACTAAACTCGGATAGGTCGCGCCACCAGCGAGCCTAACGAGGAGTGAGCTTCAGTTTTGTCAGAAAAGCCTGGACAACAGAGTTGTCCGTACGCACCATGAACGGTGCCCCATGCAGGTAGTGACGCCAGTGTCGAGCGGCATAAACTACTGCGAGAACCTCATGTTCATCAGCAGTATAGTTTATCTCGGCGGGCAGGAGCTGACGTGAGTAGAAGGCTATCGGACAATCACCTGAGCGAGACTCGACAGTGCCGTCCTCGGCGATGGTAGGAGAATAGTCAATAGAAGGCTCGTCAGTAGCTGGAYGAGTAGGCGTCAGTYGGGAAGCAGTGGTAGGGGTAGGTGGTGGGAAGCGAGGGATACGAGGATGAGAGGAATCAGGAGAGGAGGGGAAGACCTGAGAAAGCACTGCTCCTATAGCAAAGTCTGACGC